CAGTATTTAGTCTCCACAAAGCAATTTTAGTCTTTAGAAGGCAGTATTTAGTGTTCCAGACGCTGTATTTAGACCTGTCGGAAGTATCTAGTCTTCAGAAAGCAGTATTTAGTCTTCTAGAAGCAGTATCTAGTCTTCTGCCAACGTTATGTATGTTTTCTCCAACAATATCTTATCTTTCTTTTGCAGTACTTAAACCTGTCAGCAGTATCTAGTCTTCAGAAAGCAGTATTTAGTCTCGACAAAGCAATTTTAGTCTTTAGAAAGCAGTATTTAGTGTTCCAGATGCTGTATTTAGACCTGTCGGCAGTATCTAGTCTTCAGAAAGCAGTATTTAATCTTCCAGAGCAGTATCTAGTCTTCAAAAAGCAGTATTTAGTTTTTTAGAAGCAGTATCTAGTCTTCTGCCAACGTTATGTATGTTTTGTTCTTGATACTGGGGGGATAGACCATCATCTTTTTGGGAGCCTCTTATTATCTATACGGATCTTGTACCACTCGGTACCTCATTTCTGCAGCTGTTACTTTGCTTTTGTGCTTATCCTGCATTGGCAAAGTTTCCGTATTGGTGATTTCCTGTCCTGTGCAATAACAAGACAAGTCCATTGGTTTCTTGTTCATACTCTTCGCATTCTTTTGAATGAATTTTTAATTTTCCCCCCGCATTTTGGGCGCCCAATATGCTGGGGGGGGCGCCACTCCGGTTACCGCACCCTGGTGCTTCATTTGCTAGCGCCGGCACTGGATTAATATGTACATTATAAGAACGTATGATGTTATTGGCTCAATGAACACCTTTAATTGATACTGTGAACTAGTATCGTTAGAAAGATAAACTTGTAGATAATTACATTGTATGATGTTATTGCAGCAATGAACATTTTTAATCGATACTATAAAGTTGTATCATTGGCAGGATAATCGTGCACATAATTATAATGTTCGACTTTGTTGGCTCAATAAAATGTGATTTGAAATCATGCAATAAGTTCATAAGTTCACAGTTCATTGTGTTAACGTACTTTTTCATCGGATTGATTTTATCGTTATTTTCATTGTTACAACGAAGAAATACGTAAATTGAGTATACAGGAGAATGGAAGATAGATAATTGTGAATATTTCAAATAATTATTAATTTATTTTAAAGTTTGTGATATATATATATTAACAGCAATCTTATTAACTAATTTGAATACAAAATAATCCAGTTTTCCAAATAAAATAATGACAAATGATACGAAATTCACGTCACAAAATTGAGTGTACAGTAAAGGAAAAGTGAATAAGTTTAGGTTGGTATTATGTTTTAATACGCTGTAGGCCCTCCATTGGCGTCATTGGCGTATCCCCTGCATTCGCCGTGGCATTGAATCCACTAACTTTTTGGTGTAGTTTGGTGAAATTCTATCCTAAATTTTACAAATTTCATTTCTCAATTCGCTTTTGTTTCGGCAGTTGCTTTTGACTGAAATTTAACTTCTTTCCACAAATGTTCAATACCCCATTGACACATATCAGATTCACGATCAGGAGACTGTGGAACTCAGGAACCATTCTTTCACAAGGTACGACGTATGTTTTGGATTATTACCTTGTTGGAACCAGAACACAGTCGGAAGGTTAAGTTTTTGAGAGCTTTGACGTAAATTGCATTTTAAAATAGCCAAATAACTAAATTTTGTCATATTTCCCTCAATAAACTCCATAGTTCCGACGCTGCTGGCTGCCATTGATCCCCACAGTATTACTGAACCAGCCCCATGTTTTATTGTTGACGTTATGTTAATGTTAGTAAAGTAATTCGTGGTATACACTAAAAATAATTGATTATTATTATAATTTTTTTTTTGTATACTCAATTTTATGGCCTGAGTTTCGTATCACTTACTGTGGGGATATGCTGTGCGGGTCGGTGGCAGCCAGCGACGTTGGAACTGTAGTTTATTGAGGGAAATATGACAAAATTTTGTTATTATTTAGATATTTTAAATCGTAATTTACGTCAAAGTTCTTAAAGAGTCAACCTTCCGACTGGGTTCTGGTTCCAACAAGATGATGATCCCGAAGATACATTATACCTTATGAAGGAATGGTTATTATACAATACTTCAAAACAACTAAAAACACAACCACAGTCTCCGGATATGAATCATAAGACGAATCTGTCGTAATTTACATCAGATTTAGATTACGGTTATTATCATCAAACTTTGCCACAATGTTGACCACATCATTTACGCCAGTTCTTCTTCATAGGTCTTCATTTAGTATATAGTCCCCTAGGGTTACACCCAGCATCGACCTCTCTATCTATCTTTCCGTTACTTTAAGCGTTCTGTCAAATCGTCATGTGTGATGGCGCATTGGAAACGTCATTGTAGTATAATTTTAACCACACATCTAAAGAACGTGCAGAAATTTTATATCCATAAAAGTTCCTCTGTCACGGTTGCTCAACGCGTGTATAGAGCAAAATATCGCAGTCGTTCAACGCCCACAGCCAAGACAATCCGAAGGTTTGTGGGAAAATTCAATGCCAGAGATTCTTTGGCAACATCGAAGCCCAAAGTTAAGACCCGTACACGTCGTAATGATGACGCTATAGCTGCTGTAAGTGTCGATATTCAAGAGCATGACAACGGCGCGACGGTGTCCGTTAACTGCACTCGAAGAAAATGGCATGGAGAACTACTGGTTCCAGAAAGATGGTGTAACATGCCATACTCCTCTATTAACAATGGATTTGCTGCGTACCATGTTTCCAAATTGATTCATAACGAAAAGTAGCGATTATGACTGGCTGGTGCGTTCGCCTGGTTTAATGCCTCCTGACTTTTTCCTGTGGGGATATCTTAAGAGCCAGGTTTATGTCAACAAGCCAGACACTCTAGAGCAATTTAAGGCCAACATACGCCAAGAAATCGCCGAAATAACGCCCGAAACACTCGCAAAAGTGATGAAAAATGTCGAAAACAGGGCCGATTTTGTGATGACAGCTGGGGAAAGCCAAATTTCAATAAAATGATAGAATCCAAACAAAACATTGAGTTGTTCTCAAGTTATTCAAAAAAATATCGCTTACAACAAAATGACACCTTGTATATATGAATATAGCTCTTGAAGATGTCTTTAAGTTTTCCGTAGGCTGTTTAGTATGATCCTTCTGTTTAGTTCGCTTGTTTATCTCTCGATACACGAACCTCATAGCCAAGATATACATAGCTAACAACCCTCTCCATCTCATTATCCCCAATGTTGATGTTAGAGCTGGGAATAAGATTTATCATAAATTTTGATTTCTCCTCGTTGATATTTAGCCCGACTCTTGCACACACCTCCTTTAAGTCGTTCAGCATTAGTTTAATCTCTCCAAGGCTATCCGAAATGAGAACTATTCGTCGGCGTAGCGCAAATTACTTAAGCATTTGCCATCAATGTTTATGCCTTTTTGGGTCCAATCCAGTTTTTTAAATGCACTCTTCAGGACTGTGATGAACAATTTTGGTTCAATAGTGTATCGCCTTGTTTTACTCATAATCAGTACTTTACTGCTTCTACTCTCTTCAGTACTTTCATGGAATTTTACCGTCATTGTAGCATTCTTGTAGATGTTATAAATAAGTTTGGTATATCAATAATCGACTCAGCATTCTGGAAGTGCTTGCAAAACTGCCATCAACTCAATTTAAATTAAATTTTATAAATACCTCTAAATACCCATCTTGGGTAAATACCCCCGGATATATATCCAGGAAATTTACCCTTGAAAATAAATACCCGGGTATTTAACAACACTGCTTACAGCTTATTAAAATATAATACTAAGCTAAACTTATTCACTTTGCCTTAACTGTATACTCAATTTTGTGGCGTGAATTTCGTGTAATTTTTTATTATTGTTAATATTGTTATTATTTTATTTGGAAAACTGGATTATTTTGAATTCAAATTAGTTAATAAGATTGTTATTAATACATATATATCACAAACTTTAAAATAAATTAATAATTATTTGAAATTTTCACAATTATCTATCTTCCATTCCGGTGTATACTCAATTTTGTGAGCAACTGTATGTCAGTTTTTCTCTCAGTGCAGGTCTAGACGATAAATTAATAAATTATCACCAAAGTATCATTACATAATTTTTCTTTTAAAATATTAATACATGGTGAAAATGGATATATCCTATTACAATATTTAGATTTTGTCTACAAAAGATGTTTCGCCGTCGTACTTGCAAAACCACACGGTAATTTTACGACTATTTAAAAAATTGGTGGTGACCTTCATATGATCTTGAAAATAAAATCAAGGTCATATGGTACATTTTTATGTAAAATGAACCGTTTTCGAGATAATCGCTTGTCTCACGTTAAATGGACCACCTGTATAGACTCACCTCGTCGTAACAGACCACCTGTAGTGACGCATTTTTGACCACATGTTTATTAGCTATTTTGTCGAGTATTACAACTACGAGTATATTAATAAAATAATTAGATTTAATATATTTTGTAGTTTTAAATAAAAAGTATTGCTGGCGACATCTATGGTTAATTCACAAAACTTTTCCCGCCGATAAAGAAGATAGCAAAATACAGAAATAAAGTTCTCAATTGTGACGTTTTAGCACAAAGTGTTCCTAATTTTCACGTCAACAAAAAATTGCTTTAAGATAAGGTTATGTTATTGAAATGTTATTAAATATCGTTTGAATGATGATAAACAACCGTTTAAGCCCTATTCTAAGTGCTGATAGGCGATAAGAGGCGCACTATCTTGGTATAGTTGATGGAAATCGCTCACTATGAGTAAAAACATACCCGGACTTATTATTTGGTGAGAATTGACTCGTATCTAATTAATTATTTTAATAACAACGAATGTTTTGCAGCCTTATATTCTTCACAACATTTCTCGTTCTGTTTTTATTCTCAAAATGCTTAATTTCTTTGCGGGTGTTTCAAGACTTCGAGCCAGAATACAGTTGGTTGTCCCATTGTGTTACAAATGTTTTGGGATATTCTACAGTTATTATTCCTGGTTATTTAGTATTTAAATATATTAGAAAAACGAATTATTTAGATAGAGCAGGTAAATATTACTTTAATCATATTAATTAATTTTAATGCCTTTTTTATTTGTATTTTTAGGAAATGGATTTTTACCAACAATAATTCACAAATTTTTTGGTGAGGAAGAATTAATCGATCGTGCAAATTCTTCATCAACACCAACACAGTATTCGCAATCCAAAAAGGCAGTCTTGCTTGTAACATATTTTATTGGATTATTAATATCATTTCTTTGTTGGGGCGTTCTGCAGGAAAAGATCATGACGCAAAATTATGTTAATAGCTTAAATGAGACATCTCAGTTTAAAGATTCGCAATTTTTGGTGTTAGTTAATAGGGTGTTGGCGTTTTGCTTCTCAGGGATTTATATTTGCTGCAAGCGGCAGCCACGCCATAAATGTCCCCTATACAAATACATTTTTTGCTCACTTTCGAATGTAATGAGTTCTTGGTGTCAATATGAGGCGTTAAAATACGTTTCATTTTTGCACCAAGTCTTATCAAAAGCTGCTAAAACAATTCCTGTTATGATAATGGGGAAAATTATTTCTCGAACAAAATATGAATACTATGAGTATTTAACTGCTATTATTTTATCGGTAGGGATGTTATTTTTTATGTTAGATACTGGGGATGATAATGGGACAACAATAACGACTTTTACTGGAGTTGTTTTGTTAACATCTTATATTGCGTTTGATAGTTTTACATCAAATTGGCAAGGTGCTTTGTTTAAGTCCTTTGGGATGTCCCCTGTTCAAATGATGTGTGCTGTTAATTTCTTTTCCTGCATTTTAACATCAACGTCGCTTTTACAAAAAGGTGGTTTTATCGAATCTATTAATTTTATGTATCAATTCCCATCTTTTATTATTGACTGTTTTTTATTGTCTTTTTGTTCGGCAATTGGGCAGTTATTAATATTTTCAACGCTAGCTACGTTTGGGCCGCTAGTTTTCGCGATTATTTCGACGATTCGTCAAGGTTGTTCCGTTTTATTGAGTTGTTTAATTTATCATCACCAAGTAAACGCTTTGGGGATTTTTGGGATCGTTTTGGTGTTTTTCAGTATTTTTTTGCGTATTTATTGTAGTTATCGAATGAAAAATATTCGGAACCGGAGACCCAACGAAGGTAAAAATTAATGCTGTTTAGTTCTATGACTTTAACATATCATATATACTCAATAAAGAACTTTTAGAAACCAATGAAATGTTTGTAAGAAATTATTAAAGCTTCCAGTACGTGAAATGTTTTTGTTTGAGTACAATAATTTGATGTTATTTATTTTATAACGACTTAATAATTTATTTATAACATTATTTTTAATAAAATTTTACTTAAGATATAATAATTTTATTTCGGGGGGATCAGTGAAGCGTCCAAATCGATTTCGCCCCCAATTATGTAGCGGACTTTGATTGCTTCATAAGCTTCTTTCGCTGCAGCTTCATTTTTGAACAAAATTTCAGCACCTCCAATAAATTTTCCTTCGGGATCTCGAAGCAAATTCACCATTTCAACATCTCCAAACTCTTCGAACATATCAGCTACATCATTAACATCCACATTTTTCGATAAATTCGTGACCCATAACATGCAAGGATTCGTTTTGCTTTTTCTTAAAACATATTAGTTAAAATAATTAAAATTAAAAAAAAATTTACCCACCCTTTAGATGTTTTTAATTTTTTTATTCTTTGCTTAATATTCGTTGCATTGGTTGCAGGAGAATTTTCTTCTGATGGTATTCGAAGCCGTTTCAAAGTTGATTTGGGGGAGCAAGGTCCCAAAGCTTTGTCTTTTCTTGGTCGACACTTATAAGAGCAAGAAGGGGGATACTGATCTTGAGGAAACCAATCCAGATCCCAAACGATCCCTTCTAAAGAGTCAGACCCACTCGTATCGCCCATCGCGGATCACTAAGAAAACTTGGTGGACTCAAATTTACTTCAACAACAAATAACGATAAGAAAAGAATTCAAATCGCTTTTTTATGCACTTAGTAATCTAATTCTGTGCATTACCGATATATTTTTTGACACCACAACCGAAAATGTTTTCAAATTCTTATCTGGAAACAATACCTGATACAAAAAACTTCCCGAAACTCAAAACTTTCTCTTATTTCCCAGTATTTTATCACTTTATACGAGGATTTAACACCGAATCGTTATTTTTTATCGACATTTAAAATTTCCAAAATAAAAATGGCCGCTACAAAAACTAACCTAAAACTTATTATTACGTTAGTTGTTTATTTCCAAGAAAAAGTGCTTCAATAATCAAAAACTAAGTAACCAAAAAATAAGTTATCAATCTATTTTTTTAATAATTTCGTCAAAATCTAATACAAAGTTTTAAAAGTAAATTAAAATAATTTAGGGTACGTTCTAAAATAGAAATTCAAAAATAAAGCGAAAATGGCCGTTAAGGATACGTTCTAAAACGAAATTTTATTATTAATTGCACTTAATTATGTTTTTATTAAATTTTTATTTATAAATAGATTTACATATATGTTTATTATATTATTAATTTGTTAGTTTATGTTTTCGAGCTTGAGAAATAAGAATATGAAACTTGTTTTGTTATTACTCGTAGAGGGCGCTAGATACTCACTGCTCCTTTGATAAATCAAACAAGTTTCATAAGCCAACGAAACTCAAGATGTATCGCGTCATCAACAACTCTCACTTTGCCTTCCGTATGTTGACTACTTTTCTGGAAAGTCACTTATTAAAGAGGACTTCATTGAATTTGTCCATGTTGATGACATTACAGCATCAGCTTTAGCTGCAAAAATCATGGATAAACTTAAATCGTTTGGATTACAGGGTGTTGAGAGCGTCTGGAATATAAGAAAATATGATCCCTGCACAAGCAAATAATAATATTCGAATTGAATCAAATTCTGATCACTATCAAGATCCAAAAGTGCATATAATTGCAAATGTTACCATAAACTCAAATGTAAATGATCAACTTTTGTCCAGCGATGAGGATTTCGCCCCCAATGATGTAACGGACTTTGATTGCTTCATAAGCTTCTTTCGCTGCAGCTTCATTTTTGAACAAAATTTCAGCACCTCCAATAAATTTTCCTTCGGGATCTCGAAGCAAATTCACCATTTCAACATCTCCAAACTCTTCGAACATATCAGCTACATCATTAACATCCACATTTTTCGATAAATTCGTGACCCATAACATGCAAGGATTCGTTTTGCTTTTTCTTAAAACATATTAGTTAAAACAATTAAAATTAAAAAAAAATTTACCCACCCTTTAGATGTTTTTAATTTTTTTATTCTTTGCTTAATATTCGTTGCATTGGTTGCAGGAGAATTTTCTTCTGATGGTATTCGAAGCCGTTTCAAAGTTGATTTGGGGGAGCAAGGTCCCAAAGCTTTATCTTTTCTTGGTCGACACTTATAAGAGCAAGAAGGGGGATACTGATCTTGAGGAAACCAATCCAGATCCCAAACGATCCCTTCTAAAGAGTCAGACCCACTCGTATCGCCCATCGCGGATCACTAAGAAAACTTGGTGGACTCAAATTTACTTCAACAACAAATAACGATAAGAAAAGAATTCAAATCGCTTTTTTATGCACTTAGTAATCTAATTCTGTGCATTACCGATATATTTTTTGACACCACAACCGAAAATGTTTTCAAATTCTTATCTGGAAACAATACCTGATACAAAAAACTTCCCGAAACTCAAAACTTTCTCTTATTTCCCAGTATTTTATCACTTTATACGAGGATTTAACACCGAATCGTTATTTTTTATCGACATTTAAAATTTCCAAAATAAAAATGGCCGCTACAAAAACTAACCTAAAACTTATTATTATGTTAGTTGTTTATTTCCAAGAAAAAGTGCTTCAATAATCAAAAACTAAGTAACCAAAAAATAAGTTATCAATCTATTTTTTTTAATAATTTCGTCAAAATCTAATACAAAGTTTTAATAGTAAATTAAAATAATTTAGGGTACGTTCTAAAATAGAAATTCAAAAATAAAGCGAAAATGGCCGTTAAGGATACGTTCTAAAATGAAATTTTAATACTATTAATTACACTTAATTATGTTTTTATTTATAAGTAGATTTACATATATGTTTATTAATACATATATTTATACAGGGTGAGTCAGAAAGAATAAGAAATCCATAAAATTTGGACTTCATTGAATTTGTCCATATTGATGATGTTACAGCATTAGCTTTAGCTCATATGATCCCTTAACAAGCAAATGATCATATTCCAATTGAATCAAATTCTGATCATAAACTCAAATGTAAATGATCAACTTTCGTCCAGCGATGAGTTTAGTCAAATCAATTATCTCACCTTACCGAAAGGCTACCATTTGCAATATTATCGCAAAAATTTCAGGAAATGCACGACAAAAAGAAGATTAAATGTTTTGTTTGCGGAAAAACGTGTCAAAATAAGACCAAGTTGAAGTATGAGGAATGTAAACATAGTTTCCATAAGAAATGCGTTCCAAAATCTCATCGAATTCATATTCCAGATGATGACGATACTTATCTATGCCATAATTGTTATAGCGAAGAGACGATGAACTCCGAATGATAAGCTCCAGCGGGAATTGCTGAGGTGGTGGTTTTGAGTAAACGGGGCAGCAAAGGAATTAATAAAGAAGTTCAGTTAGTTTTGGAGTTGATTAAGAGTCGGTTAATAGTTTTTGTTTATTTTTATTGTTGTTGGACCAGGGAGGATTTCGAGGAGCTAGTTTTTTGACATAACGAACTATGCCATATTGACCGTATTTTTATCTTGTACGAGAATAGCTGGAACCTATAAATTGTAAAAAAAAAAATAATTTAAAAGATATAAAGCAAAAACTAGTGTCTGGGGTGCCGAAATACCCCACGATAGTACTTAAGGCTTAAGAACCTCTTTATGAAAAAAAATTTTTGAGCTTTTTCAAGATTCTAAATGTATGAATTTCCCCCTTAAAGCAATATGAAGTGGGTTGGGTTGGGCTTTGATGTGGTGTCTCGCCCACAAGTAACCTGGACTTAATTAATAAATATATCCTTGAAAATTGAATAGTTTGAATTAGTGATGGAACGGATAGTGATTTTTCAAAACGGCTTGATTTATTGGAAAGAGGACACTTTTATTAACACTTTGGGAAATTTTCATACTTATATTCCAAGAAATTGATTTTATACGAATTTTTAAAACTTAATTGGCGAAAATTGCAAAATTCGAAAAAATTGTCGATTATTTCAAAAATTTATTTCTCAAGAACTAAAAGTGATTTTTCAAAACGGCTTTTTACATTAAAAAGAGGACACTTTAAATAATAATTGGTGATATTTCCACAAGGATCGTTTAAGAAATTAATTTTATAGCGAATTTTGAAAATTATCGATGAAAATTGCAAATTTTATCAAACCTTCAAATATTGTTTTCTCAAAAACTAAAAGTTATTTTTCAAAACGGGTTGGTTCATTGAAAAGAGGACATTTTTATTAACACTTTGGGAAATTTTCATATTCATATTCCAAGAAATGGATTTTCTACGAATTTTTAAATCTTAATCGGCGAAAATTGCAAAATTTGAAAAAATTGGCGATCATTTCAAAAATTTATTTCTCAAGAACTAAACGTGATTGTTCAAAACGGTTTGTTGCATTAAAACAAGGATACTTTAATTAATAATTGGTTTGGGAAATTTTCATACTAATATTCCAAGAACTGAAAGTGATTTTTCTAAATTGTAAGGAAATAGATGTATTATTGAATTAGGATGATTGTTACAGGTAACACAAAAATATAAATAAATAACATGTATATATTTATTATAAACACGTAACAATAAAGAATAAAAAATACTGAAAGAAGAATGTATAAAAAGATACACAGAAGTTTACCAGAAGCGGATTGTGTGAATAAAATTTTTTTTACATGAAAAATATAAAGCTCTCGAATATGGGTTTAAGTTATAAATATGTGTATATATAAGGCAAGAATATTTACAAATTACATATGTATATTTAGCGTTGAACGCGGATGATGATATCACCTTCCGGTAGTTTTTTCATGATGTTCCAAGCATCGATTCTTGACAAACACGTTAAATCCACCCCGTTTATGCTCAACAATTCATCACCAGCTTTTAACTTACCAGATTTTTCAGCTGCACCACCTTTAATAATAAATTAGTAATTAATTGAGTTAATACAAAATATTTTATATATGAACATACCAACAAATAACTTTTTAACAACCAATGGCACATTTCCTTGTGGAGAATCTTGTCCACCTTGTATACTAAACCCTAATCCCGCTCCATCTTTTTGTATAGTAACTTCGATTATTTCCCCAACACTTTTTTCCTCAACTTCAATTTTTTTATCGTCGACAATCTTTGGCAAAACTTGATCCATAACAGCCGATTGTCGCCGAGGTGTTAAAGAAGTTTGAACATCCTTTGAAGCACACGCGGTTATAACAACTTTGGGAACCTTCTCTTTAAGTACTTTTAACGATTCGCCGTGAGAAAGATTTTTCATAGATTTTCCGTTTATAAATAAAATTCGATCGCCTTTTTCAAGTTGCCCATCGCGATTCGCTGGACTTCCCGTTCGTATTTTGTGGATCTAAAAAATTTATAAATTTATAAAAATTAATAATTTGTATAAAATTTTTTTACCGTAATTTCTTTAGTTTCATAATCAGCCCCACCGGCTAAAGTAATTCCGATACTTCCACCGAGAACGTCGGGTTTTAAACAAATAATTTTTAAATCTATTTCGGGTGATATCCCATATTCATCGAAAACCATGGATTTTATTTTAGTGATATCCTAAAATATTAATTTTTTTTATTTTTATTTATTTTTGGGGTAAATATTAGTACCTGTGATGATTCCTCATCGTTTTTGGGATAAATTTCGGGGGAAATTTCGGGTGGTATCGACGTCCTTTTAGTGGGTTTCGGTTCGGGGGAAATTTCGGGCGATTTTTTTGAAGTGGGCGAATTTTTAGGGGATTCCTTTTCAAAATTTTTTCTTAAATCGTTAACACTCGCCGCTTTCACAAAACGCGTTTTTGGGACGATATCGACCAAGCTTCTTTGTTTATTAAAAACAATTTCTGTTTCGGATTTAATTAATTCGCGATGCGTAGTCTCGGAGGTTGATCGGGTTAAAATTTCTTTCGAATCGATTTTTTCGATTTCTTTTTTTAGCGTTTTAATTTCGGTTTTTAATATTTCATTTTTGTGTTCTTCTTCGAATTTTCTTTGAATTAATGGCGACCCGACTTTTAGGTCTCTTCCACTTCGGCATCTTGCGGATGCTAAAATATTTTTTCGATTAATTGCTTCAACTGATTGGGCTTTTAATAATCGGCGGTTTAAGCTGTCGTAGTTTGAATCGGATTTTGATAAAATTTGTCCCGTTGGTGAGGCGGGTGGGGAATTTTTTGATATGTAACTCGATTGGCTCGAACTTAACGCCGAATCGTTATCGCTTTCATCTTCGTGGACGTCGTTGATTATTTTTGATTTTTCCAAAAAGCCGTTCGATTTTGATTTGATTTCTGGGGAATATATGTATTCGAAGCTGTAATCGGAGCGGGTTGGCGATGTTATGCTTTCTAACGATTTCGGAGGGTCGTTTTGATTATTTACATTCACCGTTAATTCAATCTCTTTGCTAGGACTTTTTTGTTTTTGAATCACTTTTGATGGCGTTTTTGGTGAAAATGAATAAGTGTGCCTATAATTTGGTTTGGGGGTTTCTGATTTTTTGATTTCGGGGAAAATTGGCACGGTTATTTCGCTTTTTATTTCTGGTAAGTCCACGAAAGGTTTTACGTTCACTTCGATTTCAGGGATATTTTCTGGGATTACTAAACCTTTTAATCTCGATAAACATTTTCTTCTTTGTTCCACCATTGCCGACCATTTATCGGGTTTATTCGTCGAAACATCACAAAGACTCATTGATCTCCCCGACAATTTTCGAAAAACGGGTTCTTCCTCTTCTTTTGATAAATTTAAATCAAAATCGCCTTTTAGTTTCGAATCGTCTTTTATTTCTAGAGTTAATTCCGATCTTGATAGTGTTTTATATTTCTCGGGGTTATCACTCAGCGTTATATTATCCGTGCTAATATATTTTTTCGTTAAATTCGTTGGTGTGTTTGAAAACATTGCGATTTTATCTCGTACATTATTTTTGGGAGGCTCGCATTTCAATTTCCAAATTTCCCTCGGCTTTATCGGCGGCGGCTTTTCAGATATTTGCTCTACTATAGGTTCTTCCTTATTATCTTCTTGATAATCCGGGAATTCGTGCCCATCTGGTGGTTGCCTCGAATAAATCGGCGGTACATCCATGATTTGCTCCAAATCTTAAAAGAAAACAAAATTTTTTTCACTTTTTATTTTAGAAAAAAAAAACGATGACTCACAAAATTAAAATAATTTTCGCGTCATTCAGGTTGCGAATAACTTTTTCGACTGCCTGATAATCACGGTTCTTACTTAATCTTTAGATAACTCGCCCGATAATTTGTATAGATGAAAAAATCCTTCCGAAATATTTCGAGAGCGCGTATTATTCGCGATAAGATGACAATTTTATCTACGCGATAAATATAATACAAAAATAATAAAATCAATTCGCAAAATAAATGTTGTAATTTCCGGAATTAATCATAAAAATTTTGAATCGAAATTCGCTTGGTGTCGGTTGGGGGCGTGCGCAAAAACAAACAAACGCGAAGCGAAAACAAAAGAAATCGAGACAAACCTGATGGTGGGTGTTCGGCTCAAGTAAACGGTAATTTTTTAAAGACTATTTCGTTTAATTTTATCAAACCTGATGCGATGATCGAAGGTGCGTTGACGATATCGTGAATAACATCCACTTTCGGCGTGCAGAAGATGACACGAGGTTCCATATCGTTTAGTTCTTCTCGGATCGCAAAACGCGAGAACATTTCTTCGGAACGAAACCAACCTCGCGGTTAGATCATACTCGAAAAACCCACGAGTTCTTACTTTCACACCGCCGCTTCGGAGTAGAGGTACAGAGAGAACAAGGCTACAGTTTCAACCGAACATATGGTTCGTTATAACACTTCAACTTCTTCAAGCACACGTTCAAAGAAAATATTTCGTTAAAAAATAAGACAGTTTTAATATTGAACAAAATTAATAATATCGGAGCGAATTCATCAATATGAGTTTGATGGCGATTATATTATATTATGTATGATAAGATAAAACGAATATTACAACTGAAACAATGAGGAACGCGTCCGATCGGAGTCGGGTTCGATCGAAAACTGGTACCGATCATCGCAAAACTACGTTAACCGGTCGATAATTTTTGATGGTGCTCCCCAACAGCCTCCCTTTTCGATCCACGAAAATTTCGAAACAATAAAGATATACAACGAATTAAAACCAAATCGACCTTAATAAAACAGTAAAACGAAAAATTTTAAGTTTTCAAATGTTGGTGGTCGTTCCGTGTCCAAAAATAAAATCGAAACGATTACTCAAACTATTACCACTGTATGGCGAACATCGGGTCACTGGACTGCTGATTCAAGGGCAGCAGGAATCTTGCACAGATACTATACTCGACCGTTGGACAAGTACAGGTCCGTCTCCGCCGGGGACGCGATCGCGAATCCGCAACGTTTACCGCGTTTACAACGTTCGCGACCAACCGAAAACGACGACTGGTTACCTGAATCCCTGAATCCGTGAATCCGATGCTCCGCGACAGCATACAAACCTCCACGATGACGAAGAAACAAAAATAAAAATGTTCCGATATCTAAAAAATTTTTATTTGCCTTCATTACTACAAAGATATCCTATTTTTGATACGAATACTTCCAAAATATCATAGTATCATATAATGAGTCAGTGAAGTGCTTCAGACCCAACCCCAATTTAAAGGGGTAAAATACTAAAATTTTTTAAAAACCATCAAAATTATTAAAGAGAAAATTGCCTAATTTATAAATCAAAAATAATAGGAAATTAAACTCATTAAACTCGCGACCGGTGTAATTGTTATTATAAGGAAAATAAAATATGTTTTAAAATTAACACTTTGTGTTTAAATAAAAATCTGATAAACTATAAAGTGAAGACATTACATGGCGATCCTGCCAGGATTTAGAATATGATTTTGAACCCCTGTATAATTTTGATGACTATCCAAATCAATTGAAGTATAAGTTACAAATTACTTGTAATGAAGCTAGAGAAAATTTAGTGGTATCAAAGATAAATAGAAAATGTAAGTTAGATAGTAGAGCTCACGATGTTAGCTATAAGTTAGGAGATAAGGTGTTATTAAAAAATGAGTGCGGAAATAAATTGGAGCCTTTGTACAATGGACCTTATGAAGTAGTGGAAGAAAAAGCTCCAAATGTGCTAATTAAAATTAAAGACAAAGAAATATTAGTGCATAAACAACGTGTTAAGAAATATGTTCAGTGAAAATAATAAGAAGTGTAGAATTAAGAAAAAAAAACATATGTCAAATGGTTTTTTTTTTCTTTCTTTGGCGGGGAAGGTGTAATGGAAAAATACCTTAATAGATTTCATAAATTAAACCATGTGCAATCTTACGCCAAAGAAAGGAAATATCATATATTGTTGACGACAGCAATTCGGCCGTCGACGTATTTGATAGGAATAAGTAGAATAGAATAGTATGGGAAGTCTTAAGCAAGCTCTCATCGATTAAACTCGCGACCGGTGTAATTGTATTATAAGGAAAATAAAATATGTTTTAAAATTAACACTTTGTGTTTAAATAAAAATCTGATAAACTATAAAGTGAAGACATTACAAGTCAGTGAAGTGCGGCAGAACCAACCCCAATTTAAAGGGGTAAAATACTAGAATTTTTGGAAAATCGAAATTTTTTAAAAACCATCAAAATTATTAAAGAGGAAATTGTCTAATTTATAAATCAAAAATAATAGGAAATTATTAGAGTTTTCAAAAATTCCACGACAGCATACAAACCTCCACGATGACGAGAAAACAAAAATAAAAATGTTCCGATATCTAAAAAATTTTTATTTGCCTTCATTACTACAAAGATCCATTTTTGATACGAATACTTCCAAAATATCATAGTATTATATAGTGAGTCAGCGAAGTGCGGCAGAACCAACCCCAATTTAAAGGGGTAAAATACTAGAATTTATGGAAAATCGAAAATTTTAAAAACCTTCAAAATTATTAAAGAGAAAATTGTCTAATTTATAAATCAAAAATAATAGGAAATTATTAGAGTTTTCAAAAATTCCACGACAGCATACAAACCTCCACGATGATGAGAAAACAAAAATAAAAATTGTAATTGTTGTTTTCTTTTCTATCTTGGTCCAAGATAAGCACGCCACAACAACAAGAAAACATCAAAAATCACAGAAATAATCGGAAACCATCAGTGATTACAAATAGCAGAAATAAAACATGGTGAAATTTATATTTATAAGATTAACGAATTCTTCCTGATGATGAGGCTCGTATCCTCGAAACATGTAGAGAATGAAATAAACATATAACATCGATAAAGTACAAAATAATTCAACCTTCACATACAAAAATAAAAATGTTCCGATATCTAAAAGATTTTTATTTGCCTTCATTACTACAAAGGTATTCTATTTTTGATACGAATACTTCCAAAATATCATAGTATCATATAGTAAGTTAGCGAAGTGTGGCAGAACCAACCCTAATTTAAAGAGGTAAAATACTAGAATTTTTGGAAAATCGAAATTTTTTAAAAACCATCAAAATTATTAAAGAGAAAATTGTCAAATTTATAAATCAAAAATAATAGGAAATTTTCAAAATATCATATTGGCTGTATTTTTGATGATTCCGATGCTCCCCGACAGCATACAAACTTCCACGATGACGAAGAAACAAAAATAAAAATGTTCCGATATCTAAAAAAATTTTATTTGCCTTCATTACTACAAAGATATTCTATTTTTGATACGAATACTTCCAAAATATCATAGTATCATATAGTGAGTCAGTGAAGTGCGGCAGAACCAACCCTAATTTAAAGGGGTAAAATAGAAGAATTTTTGGAAAATCGAAATTTTTGGTTGTGGTAACAGTACACTAAAATATCATAAAAATCATTTAGCAAAGTTTCATACACAAAATCAACTGCCTTACGAATAATGTTTTGCTCATAAGCAGTTCTTAATCTTCAAGTATTCGAGACCATTAGATTAATGTATGAAGACCTGAGTAATGACGACCAAAATAATAATGAGATATTTAGAAATTTAAAAATCACATCGAGTGTATTTTTAAGAATTTGACATATGTTTGTTAAATTGAAACTTACAGATTCTAGCTTATGAAATGATATAAAAATTGTAAGATATTATTGAAATTTCCCAGGAAAAAATATTAAAGAAGAAATTGTCAAATTTATGGATCAAGAATAACACCAAATTTTCAAAAAATTATTTCGACTGTATTTGTAAGAATCGTCATATGAAATATATGTTAAATTGAAGCTTCAAGATTGTAGATCTTATGATATGATATAAAAACTATATGGTAATATTATTGAACTTTCCACGAAAAAATTATTAAAGAAGAAATTGTCGAATTTATAAATCAAAAACAGCACCAAATTTAAAAAAAATCATTTCGACAGAATTTTTAAGAATCATGATATGATATGTCTATTAAATTGAAGCTTAAAGATTTTAGTTTATGGTATGATATAAAAACTATATGATAATATTATTGAAATTTCCAGGCAAAGCAGAAATTGTCAAATTTATAAATCAAAAATAACGCATAATTTTTCAAAAAATCATATCGTCTGTAATTTTAGAAATCTTGATATGATATGTATGTTAAATTGAACCTTAAAGATTCTAGTTTATGATATAATATAAAAACTATAAGAAAATATTATTGAAATTTCCAGGATAAAATTATTACAGAAAAAATTGTCAAAATTATAAACCAAAAATAACAGGAAATTTTCAAAAAAGTCATATCGACTGTATTTTGAAGAATCATGATATGATATGTCTATTAAATTGAAGCTTAAAGATTCTAAATTCACAATTATCCATGTTGCAAGTTAAATAATTAAAATAATTAATTTAAAAGAAAAACTTCTTGCAAGACTAGACAGTCTTGCAATTTCTCTTCGCCGATAATGTCCTTATTGGAATTTATTTTATAAACATTTTCGAGTGTTATATGTCTAATTTAAGTTTTCTCATTTTGTGACATGTATATTTTTACATAAATATTATGTGTTTTATATAGTTTCATTCATTTTTTAGACTGATGATGGGGTTGAAACCCGAAACTAATTTCTGATTTAATTAATGAATAAATTTGGCAAGTAAAAAAAGTTTTTCTTTTAAATCATTTAATTTAAAGATTCTAGTTTATGATATGATATAAAAACTATATGATAATATTATTGAAATTTCCAGGAAAAAATTATTAAAGAAGAAATTGTCAAATTTATAAATCAAAAATAACGAGTAATTTTCAAAAAAAATCATATCGTCTGTATTTTTAGATATCTTGATATGATATGTATGTTAAATGGAAGCTTAAAGATTCCAGCTTATGAAATGATATAAAAATTGTAAGATAATATCATTGAAATTTCCAGGAAAAAATATTAAAGAGGAAATTGTCAAATTTATAAATCAAAAATAACACGTAATTTTAAAAAAAGCGTATCGACTGTATTTTTAGGAATCTTGATATGATATGTATGTTAAATTGAAGCTTAAAGACTCTAGTTTATGATATGATATAAAAACTTTAACATAATATTATTGAAATTTCCAGGAAAAAATTATTACAGAAAAAATTGTCAAAATTATAAATCAAAAATAACAGGAAAGTTTCAAATAATCATATCGACTGTATTTTTAGGAATCATGATATGATATGTCTATTAAATTGAAGCTTAAACATTCTAGTTTATGATATGATATAAAACCTATAAGATAATATTATTGAAATTTCTAGGAAAAAATTATTAAAGAAGAAATTGTCAAATTTTCAAAAAAATCATATCGTCTGTACTTTTAGAAATCTTGATATGATATGTATGTTAAATTGAAGCTTAAAGACTCTAGTTTATGATATGATATAAAAACTATAAGATATATTATTGAAATTTCCAGGAAAAAATTATTAAAGAAGAAATTGTCAAATTTTCAAAAAAATCATATCGTCTGTATTTTTAGAAACCTTGATATGATATGTATGTTAAATTGTAGCTTAAAGACTCTAGTTTATGATATGATATAAAAACTATAAGATAATATTATTGAAATTTCCAGGAAAAAAATGTTAAGAAAGAAATTGTCAAATTTATAAATCAAAAATAACGCGTAATTTTCAAAAAAATCATATCGTCTGTATTTTTAGATATCTTGATATGATATGTATGTTAAATGGAAGCTTAAAGATTCCAGCTTATGAAATGATATAAAAATTGTAAGATAATATCATTGAAATTTACAGGAAAAAATATTAAAGAGGAAATTGTCAAATTTATAAATCAAAAATAACACGTAATTTAAAAAAAAGCGTATCGACTGTATTTTTAGGAATCTTGATATGATATGTATGTTAAATTGAAGCTTAAAGACTCTAGTTTATGACATTATATAAAGCTATAAGATAATATTATTGAAATTTCCACGAAAAAATTATTAAAGAACAGGTCAAATTTATAAATCAAAAATAACGCGTAATTTTCAAAAAATCATATCGACTGTATTTTTAGGAATCTTGATGTGATATATCTATTAAATTGAAGCTTAAAGATTCTAGTTTATGATATGATATAAATATTGTAAGATAATATTATTGAAATTTCTATTTCTGAAAAAAATATTAAAGAGGAAATTGTCAAATTTATGAATCAAGAATAACGCGACATTTTCAAAAAATCATATTGATTGTATTTTTAAGAATCGTGATATGAAATGTATGTTAAATTGAAGCTTAAAGATTCTGGTTTATGATATGATATAAAAACTATAAGATTATATTATTGAAATTTCTAGGAAGAAATTATTACAGAAAAGATTGTCAAATTTATAAATCAAAAATAACGCGTAATTTTCAAAAAAATCATATCGTCTGTATTTTTAGAAATCTTGATATGATAGGTATGTTAAATTGAAGCTTAAAGACTCTAATTTATGATATGGTATACAAATTATAACATAATATTATTGAAATTTCCAAAAAAAAATTGTCAAAATTATAAATCAAAAATAACAGGAAATTAAAAAAAAAATCATATCGACTGTATTTTGAAGAATCATGATATGATATGTCTATTAAATTGAAGCTTAAAGATTCTAATTTATGATATGATATAAAAATTCTAAGATAATATTATTGAAATTTCTAGGAAAAAAATATTAAAGAGAAAATTGTCAAATTTATGAATCAAGAATAACGCGACATTTTCAAAAAATCATATTGGTTGTATTTTTAAGAATCGTGATATGAAATGTATGTTAAAGTGAAGCTTAACGATTCTAGTTTATGATATGATATAAAAACTATAAGAAAATATTATTGAAATTTCCAGGAAAAAATTATTAAAGAGAATATTGTGAAATTTATAAATCAAAAATAATAGGAAATTTTCAAAAAATCATATTGGCTGTGTTTTTGATGATTCCGATGCTCCACGACAGCATACAAACCTCCACGATGACGAAGAAACAAAAATAAAAATGTTCCGATATCTAAACAATTTTTATTTGCCTTCATTACTACAAAGATAAATGAATTTATAAATGAAGAACAACGCAAAATTTTCAAAAAATGATTTCGACTATATTTTTAAGAATCGTGACCTGATATGTATGTTAAATTGAAGCTTAAAAATTCTAGTTTATGATATGATATAAAAACTATTTGGTAATATTATTGAAATTTTTCACGAAAATCATATGTAGGTAGGTTTGCCGATGTTCTACTCTTTCATGCAACAACTCTGAAAATTATATATGCGGCAACATCTAGATAATGTGTTTCCCGGAAGATGGATAGGTCGAGGTGGTCCAATGGTCTGGTCATCTCGATTGCCCGACCTCAATTCTGTATATGCCACCGAAGATAATATTCAGCAAGACAACACAACCCGCCAATACCCTAGTAGTGGGGGGTCGTGGATTTGGGGAGTGTTGTGTAATACAATTGTATATAGAAAATATGGGAAATAACTTCGAATACTTGCTGTGATGTTAGTTTTAAATGTGCTATGTAGTCATGATTTGAAAGTAACTTTCTTTGATATCTAGAAAACTTTGTCATGAGGAATAAATCCCCAAGTTTATGCTTATAGGTTGAGAATCACCCTGTATTGAAGGTAGGATCCTTCAGAAAAATTGTTTAGTTTGTTAAGAATACTGAATATTAATTATTAATATTGATGTCTCTTTTCTCATTATATTTACATTTAAGTACTAACTTAAATAACAGATTTAACATCTGTGAGCAATTTGAGATATTCCTCTCTCATCTTATAACGTCTAGTGCAATTCTGTAATGTAGCTAACTTGGTGATAAAGTTCTTAATTGTCTTTAATAATGGAACTAAAGAACCAATACTAAAATATCAAAAAAAAATGACCAATTTGCCAAAAAAGTTATTAGTATTATAATTTTTAAGAATCATGACTTGATATCTATGTTAAATTGAAGCTTAAAGATTGTAGTTTGTTTTTTTTAAGCTTTGAAAAAATGTTCACTTTCTTTCAAAAAAAAAAAAATAGCAGTCCGCATTTTTCTTCATCATTCTGAGTTTAGCGGAGATTGCATATTGAAATATGTGTTACCTAACATTTTTTCAGAGGTTATTGACTCTGGTAAACAAAACTAACCTGTTCTAACATTTTGTACTTTGCATTCACTGATTTTAATAAACATTTAACCGGCGTGCAATTTAAATTTCTAGAAAGATAACAAACATTACACATAAATATAAGTATCTATAGATAAAAACATGTACACAACTTTGTCTATTTGCCAAATATTAACAATTATGTCTTCTATGAAAACGGCATGAATCAGATATGTTCCTAAAAATTGAGTGTTTATTAAATAAAAAGGAAATAAATCCTTACAACTTAAGGAACCGTGATAAAATTGAATAGATTGATAATAATAATTATAACAAGTCATACGTCACAGAAAAACAGTTTTATTCGTACATCTTGTATCATTTTTTTTTATCTACACGACAAAGTTTCAATCTTCTTCAAAAAAACAAGGTTCCACTTAGATCTTTTACGATAAATCGGTTATTACAAGGCTTTACCTTGTTAATCGAAGATTTAATCAAGATGAAATCATGCGACTTTATTATTTTTGGTTACGTCACAATAAATTAAAAATTAAAACATACATACCGTTTTCCTCGTAATCATAGAGATACGTGAGATTGGATTTTTCACTGATTTCATCCGGTGCACAAGAATCCGCATTTTCTATTATAACAACTGGGTTTTCGGTGTTTACACTGAAATTAAAATTTTAATTAATTAATTATAAATTATTAATTAGTTTTTATATAAAATTTGTACCATTCTTCTTGGATCGTTTCTTCTTCGTCTTCCCCTATAGTTGCTAATTTCGATGAAGGACTCCATTCTAAAGAATAAAATTCCTCCTCGCACCAATTATCGTTGATATGATTCTCGTTGTTGTCCATGACGATGTAACATTTTTCGTTTTCTAAGAAATGTTTAACGATTTCGATGGAATTTGTAATTGACGATGTCTTCGGGACGAAATCGACTAATCTCGGGAGTTCCTCATCTTTTTTTAATCCGTTTTTAGACCGTGGTGGGGGTGAAGGAATTTCTTCGATTATTTTGATTTGTTCAATTTTAACGTCTTCATTCCCGTAACTTAATGGGGCGTCTTGGAAATTAGCGGGAGGTTGGAGAGTTTCGACACTTTTCGGTACATTTTCTTCGACTAATTTGCTAAATAAATAATTTTCGTTTGAAAAGTCGATATGTTTTTGAACCGGGGTTGGCGTTGAAGGTAAACTTCCGGAAAAACTTGATGTTGTTGTGGCTGGATAAGATCCTAATCGATCAACAACGGTCGATATAGAACTTCCGGTGTCGTCGGATTCGCTTAAGCTATAAGCGGATTCTTGCGAAAATAAATCGGTGTAAACTTCGGCATCTGGTGGGCAAGAATCTTCGGAAAGCTTTCTTAGTTTTTTGTTCACTTCCGGGGATTGGCGCAATTTTCTAAAACTGTTATAAGGCGATTGTTTGTTTTTGAAATTATTTTCGCTGCAATTTTGTCGCGTTAATGGTACGGGGGGTTCCCCGGAAATATCCCCAAATCCTTTTGGGGGTATAACGATCGAATTTTCTTTCGATTTTCTGTTCATTTTTCTCGGTGGAACTGGGGGAGGGGGAGGTGGAGTTCTTTTCTTTTCTGCGCTAACAACCAAAGGTAAATCTTCTTTTAGTGATTCTTCAAATCGGTGTTTTATCAGCAATTTTATGACCACGTTCGAATCTTTTAAACATCGAACGCAATCGATTCGAGTCATCGTGTTTACTGGCACTGCATCAATTTCTAAAATTTCATCACCTTCCACCAATAACCCCCAAGAACATTGCACTCTTGAAGCTGGGCTATTTAACGCGCACGATTGGATAAAAAGGCGCTTTACAAATTCCGCCGATTTTGTTCCACCTTCAAATTTTAAACCAAAACCGAGCTTTTCACCTGGTAATCGATATACTAACACTTCTTCGGTTGTTTCTTTTTGGACATCTTCATTTTGAACATCTTGATTTTCGTCATCTTTTTGAATATCTTCATTTTGAGTATCCTCGTTTCCTATTTTTAAAACGGTCACGTAATCTTTTGGGGTGTTTTCCTCGGGGGGTTTTGAAGACCCCACCGCAACAACCGTGACGTAATCTTCATTATTTATTGTTAAGGGCTGATCCATTTTATTTTTTCTTCGTTGTTAGTAAGTCTAAAAATAATTAAAAATATTTTTTATTTTGAAGATGCAGAAGAGAAAATCTTAACGGAGAAAGATGAAATCTAATTAGAAAGTGGATAAGTAGAAGGAAAATATTTAAAATGATTGTTGAATACTGATTTCAAATGGATTGATTTTTTTTAAAGGTTAAATTAAAAAGTTCCAATTGAAAAGGTCACCATGAAAAATCCTTGCGTATACTATTTAAGGAGGCGGATCGACTTAGCCGCGCCAATAACCTATATAATGACGGCCGTCTCAAAACAAAATTAAATAAAAATCGTCAACGGATTATAGCGGATCGGGTTTTGAGGTCTCCGAATTTGCATACGGTGGGAAAGAAAGAGGCGCGACATAGAAAGACACCCGGGGAATATAATGCATCAAAAGTAGGATGATAAATGCTTCAAAAAGAAAAAAAGGTTTTAACCAAAATTGGGTCAATTGAGAAAAATCTTAAAAAAAATTGATATTTTTTTAAACGATGTATGTGTAAAAGCGGTCGAGTATTCGAGGACGTAAACGCTATAACGGTATCGCATTGCTCTTTATGTGGACCGCGGGTTCGAGCCCGGAGGGAACGATGACAACAGCCCCCGGGGCTTGATTACGTTATTAAACTAATATTGGGGGATGATGATTTTGATTTGCCTCCACCAGAACCATTTAATTCAACTTTCATGTTCTCTTACCCGCGTGGTATTTTGTCAAGACATTTTTCAAGAATGAGGCCGCTTCTGTCCGGGTGAACCGCGGCAAAGCGCTGCACGTTGGCGATTATTGTAAACACTGGCCGAAGAGGTGCTGCTGTTCAATCCGGATCCGGAGGCTCCAAACGCGAAGTGGGGTCTCGTGTTCATTCGCTGTTCTTCGGCCGATCTTCAAACTATCTCCCGTTCACCAACGTCATCTCTCCTTCCATATCTCAAAACGACACATTTTTGCACCAACATATTCGCAACATAGATATCGCACACTCCCTACTATCACCATCTAGTATTTAACATACTAAATACAGTGTATTAATTAATTATCGTACCCGACGTCATCATTGCAAGTATGCAACCAATATCACAGTATTTTTATTGCAATACGCGATTTGCGTATGATGCGTATTGCACTGTGATATTGGTTGCATACTTGCAATAATCCTCAAAACATACGCGGCTTACGCAGTAAAGGTACTATTTTCTATACAAATCTACTGAGTGCGGATTTGGATGTTGTCTGCCTTACGGAGACCTGGCTTTGTCCCGGAATTGAATCTGCAGAGTATTTTCCCGATTCATATGTGACTTACACATTAATGATGATTCGGGTGCTCGGCGTGGAGGTGGTGTGTTGTTGGCTGTGTCGAAGATGATCTCCAGTGCGGAACGACCGGGTTTGTTCGCGGACGTTGAAGCAGTGTGTGTTGCGTTGTCTAATGGCTCTTTAGTGCTTAACATATGCTGTGTTTATATTCCGCCATGTGACAATGTTGCACTCTCGCGATTTTCCCGGTCCTTAGTTGATGTAATTGAGCGACACCCCAATGATGGTTTTCTCATTTGTGGTGGTTTCAATATCCCGAAAATCAGGTGCTCTTTTGATCCCGTTCGCCGTTACTGTGTCCCGTCCAGGGCAACTTCTGCAAGAGCTACAGAGTTCTTGGACTCCGTCTCCTTGGCTGGTTTATCCCAATTAAATCATCATTGTAATGACTTTGGTAACATTCTTGATCTTGTTTTTTCCTGTAATGTATTTCATTGCGAGGT